GGTAAACAGTGATAGGTAGCCTTGTGATGGGCTGACTTAAACAATAATCTGTAGTGAAGGTGATTTTTCCCAATTCCACTCTTCCTTCTTCTGGCTTTCATTTGGGAGTGAAATATTGAACTGTTTGCAGGCATGGGAAGCAAAACTTTTGAGAGAAGGTTGCTACTTCCCATAGAACTGGGAAAAGGTCCCCGTGTTTTAGCGTTTACAGGGAAATCTTACGTTGGTATTCTACTCTTCTTTGTTTTCTCTTCTGGTTCTATCTTGAAGGCAGCCCCAGTTGTGGAATACCTGGAACTCCCAAAGACCCACTTCTCTAATCATAGGACCTGAGGGAGGAGGACCCTGCTGTTTGGAGAATGTATATGTGGGAATCTCCATTAATTTAAGCACCTTTACGCTTGCTACTTCTAACTAATTAATTATGGATGACCACAGTCACCTGGAAATAAATAACATGGTGAAGGATAAAAATGTGAAAGAAATCTGTCTTTCTGGCTAGAGGAACCAGAGCTAGGGGGTCTCAAGAAGCCAGAAAGTATGAAGGAAATTCTGAAGAGCAGGAAAAGGTGACCCCTAATTTTGTGTATGAACTTCCATAAAGCCAGGGTTCACCCTGAAGCATGGCACATGTGCAACCGACCCAAAGAAGCATAGGGTGGCCTTCCAACAAGGAACTACAGTATAAAGCACTGTGAAATTTCCAGAGTAACTGCTGAGTGGCACATGCAATAGACAGACTCAAATAGCATAGCAAAGACTTTGAAAACTGACATAGAAACCAATGCCAACAGAGAGTGAGACAGAACTTACAGATCTTATTGGTTACTGTTCCTAGGTTTAATGACTGATAAAACAACACTACAAAATGATATCACTTCCACAGGATTTTAGCAGGACCAGATCCCCAGAATATGACATTCAAAATATCTACGATAGAGTCTAAAAGTACCAGACAGAAAAAGAACCAGAAGTTCAATGAATTCTAAGAGGAAAAGACAATCCACTGATGTAAAGCTCACAGAAGACCCAGATTTTGGAAAATATTTGATGAAGATCTTAAAGCAGGTATAATAACCACCTTCCACAAAATAAAGGTAAACAAACATTCTTTAGATGAACAGAGATAGGACTTCTCAGGAGATAAAAAAGAAATGAGAAAATATGCATCTGAAATCAAAATTTCACTGAAGGTGCAAAGTAGCAGAAAGAAGACAACAAAGGAAAGGATTAGTGCATTTGAAGACAGATTAGTTGAATGCCCCAGTCTGAATTATGGAAAGAAAAATGATGGATTAAATAACGAACAAAGAACTGAAGAATTGCGGGACAATATCCAGAGGCCTCATATGTGTGTTATTGGTATATCAGAAGATGAAAACAGACACAGAAAAAATGTGAAGAAGTAATGGTTGAAAATTCTTCCCAAATGGCCAAGGACACATTCAAGGAGTTCACTAAATTATAAATAGGATAAACTCAAAGAAAATCATACCTAGACATACAGTGACCCACCTGTTAAAAAACAAAGATAAAGAGCTCACCAAAATTAAAAGAATGAAAAGGCAAGTTACTTACTAGGAGAACATATCCGGAAGCCACACATCCAATAAAGAACTAGTACCTACAATATATAAAGAACCCTCAAAACTCAACAGTGAAAACAAAACAGTCCATAAAAGACATGAATAGTCGTTTCACTGAAGAGGACTTATAGATAGCAAATAAGTATATGAAAAGATGTTCAGTATCATAAGCCAGTAGGAAAATGCAAATCAAAAACACAATGTGGTACTATTAGATACCTAGAAAAGAACAGTGAGCACATCAATGCTGGTAAGGATGTAGAAAAACTAGATCATTCATACATTGCTGGTACAATAAATTGCTGAAAATAACATAATTTCTTATGAAATTAAACATATGACCTAACAATTGCACTCTTGCAAATTTATTGCAAAGACAGAAAGACTTGTATTTATGCACACACAAAAACTATACATAAATGTACATGAACTGTACACAGGTGTTTTATTATAATATCCCCAAACTGAAAATTATATATGTATAAACATATAATATATAAATATATAAATTAAGCAAACTGTGGTAAAAACATACATATTATACTACTCAGCAATGAAAAGAAATGAACTACTGATGCATACAACAATGTGGATGATACCAGTTTCAGAAGAAATCATGAGAATCTTGTGTGACCTTGAGTTGTTTTTTTTCTTTTCTTCCAGGTTGGCTTCCAATTCACAATTCTCCACTTCAGCCTCCAGAGTGGCTGGGATTATAGGCACACATCCCTGCACCTGGCTTAATGCCGTTAACAGCAAGAGAACTGGTGAATTAGTATTCATAAAAATTAAAGCCTTTTTCTCTATATATGACACTGTTAAAAAAATGCAAAGACAAGCCACCAGTTGGGCGAAAATATTTGCAAATCAGATATCTGAAAAAGGACTTTTATTTGGAATAAAGAATTTTCAAAATCCAATAAGAAAACAAAAATCCAATAAAACATTTTGATCAAACACTTCACCAAAGACTATAAACTGACAGCTAATAAGCATATGAAAAGATGCTCAACATCAACCAGCATGAGGAAAATGCAAAGTAAAACCACAATGAGATACTTATACATTGTCATCAGAATGTCTTAACACACACACACACACACACACACACACACACACACACACACCTGAAAAAATTAAATGCTGGTGAGGAAGTAAAAATGCAAAACTTTTGTGTACTGCAAGAGAGAATGCAAAATGGTTCAGTCATTTTGGAAAATAGATTAGTTTCCTATGAAAATTAAACATCAAACACTTTTCTAGCAATCTCACCCCTGGAACTTATCCGAGAAGTATGAAAACTTTGTATTTATACAAAACTTGCATATGAATGTTTACAGCAACTGTGTTCATTATTTTAAGAAACTAGAACTGAATCAAATGTTCTCCAACTGGTGAAAGGATAAATGAGCTGAGATGCATCTGTACTATGAATACCTAGCAGGAAAAAGAAGCAACAACTGATAAACATGGATGAATCTCATATAATTATGTTACATGACAGAAGACAAAGTAAAAAATCTGTAATTATTCCTTTTATATGACATTTTGGAAGGGCAAGATTATTTAGAGGAACAACAGATCAGTGGTTGCCAGAAGGAGGAGGGTTGGAATATAAAATGACAGCAAGAGGGAGTCATTTTGTAATGACCAAATTGTTTGGCACATGTCTGTACTCTCAGCTACTGGGGAGGCTAAGGCAGGAGGATCACAAGTTTAAGGCCAGCCTCAGCAACTTAGTGAGACCCTATCTCAAAAATAAAGAAAAAAAGGGGTATGTGTATGTGTTTCTGAGGATATAATTAAGTGGTACAGTGCCACTGAGTTCAATCCCCAGTATTGAAAAAAATTTTTGTTTTGTATCTTGATTGAACTTCTCTAACTAGAGAAGTGTACAGTGTTCCTCAAAACATGAATTTTTATGTATGTAAATTTAGAAATAAATTTAAAAGAATATAAGTCAAGGGGCTGGGGCTCAGTTGCAGAGCACTCGGCTAGCATGCATGAGTCACTGAGTTCAATTCTCAGCACCACATAAATGTAAAATAAAGATATTGTGTTCACCTAAAACTAAAAAATAAATATTAAAATTATATATATATAAGACAAGCATAACAGCAAGATCCATAAAACAGAAAACTGGTAAATTAATACAGTGGGTATAAATTAGAACTGTTTAGGTAGCTGTTATACAACCCTCAGAGAACAATGGCACTAAATCTACCTCCTCTCTCATGTCCATCCCATCTAAAGCTGCTGAACTGTCCATCTTTCTGGGGTTGACCATCCTTATTTATGAGTCCTAGACTTACGTTGGAATATATCTGAAACAATACTGGCAAATGCAGTACAGGAAAATGCTCCAAATAAAATGACTCTGTGCTTTCTGCTTCACGAGATTTCTGAATATTAATCACCAATGATTAAAAAACTAGATTAAAAATCAATTTGTTTGTTTGTTTTGGTACTAGGAATTAAACCCAGGGGCACTATACCACTGTGTTACATCCCCAGCCCATTTTATTTTTTATTTTGAGACAGAGTCTCACTAAGTTGCTTAGGGCTTCACTGAAGTGCTAAGGCTGGCCTCAAATTTACCATCCTTCTGCCTCAGCCTCCTGAGTTGCTGGGATTACAGGCTTGCATTATCACACTCAGTGCCCTTTTTATTTTTGATTTTTGAGACAGGGTCTCACTAAGTTTCTGAGGCTGGCCTTAAACTTGTGACCCTACTGCCTCAGCCTCCTGAGCCGCTAGGATTACATGTGTGTGCCACTGCATCTGGCTTAGAGAGATTTATATAAAATATAACTCTGATCATGCCTTTTCCAACTAGAACATTTTCTCCTTTACTTTTGGGCAAAGTTCAAACTCCTTAGCATGGCTTTAAATACAAGGTCTTTCATGAACTGATTCCTGACTCTCTCCAACCTTGTGCCTTGCCCTTTCAAATGAACCCTGACAGTTCCTATAGATCTTTTCTAAAATAACTTTATAGATGTTTATTGAAATATTGCAGATGTCTTAAATTTATTTTCCTACCAAATAAGAGCTACTATTTACTAAGCATATTTATTTCCTAGATATCATGCTAGGTGCTTTATATTATATACATTCTTTCACCTTTTAAAATAAGTACAATTATTCTCCTTTTACAGTAGAGAAAGCTAAAGATTATGAAGGTTAGGTAACTTCATAGCATAGCAAGTGGAAGAGCAGAGATAGGAACTTAAACCTGACTCTCATATGTTCAGTTATTACAGTAAAGTCAGTCAGTAAATGTTTATTAAATTAATAATAGCTCTCCATCTTCTTTATCTTATAGTTATCTGTAATTCATAGAAATCCAGGATAAAAAATACATAGAACCATATAATGTCACAGACATCTGAAATTTTAAAACTGTGTACGTACCTGCATGAGATCTTGAAGACTCTCAACAAAAGAAATCTCTGCTTCTACCATATAAAATTCTGCCAGGTGTCTCCGGCTCTGAGAATTCTCAGCTCGGAATGTTGGACCAAAGGTAAACACTTGAGTAAAAGCTCTGCAATTCAAGATGAAGATCATGAAAATAGGATTCACATGATTAATTTTAAATATTTAAAGTACTCTGTGAGCTCTTAAAAAAAAACTGTACCTTTGACATACTCATAAGCCCACACATATTAGCTCTCTACTTCTCTAATGGGTGATAATAATAGTTTCATTAAAAATGTTACATTTATAGAAACCATTTTATCCCAAAGGAATTTGCAACTGCTTTACAAACCCTACAGTTTTCTAAATATAGATACACAACCACTTCTGGGTGCATCCTACTGCAGCTGCCTTAAACAGCAGGCAACTACATTTCACAGCAATCAAGATCAAAGTAAAGGAAAAATACCACCACCCAAGAAACCACAAAGAGAATTCTAGATAGAAACACAAAAAATTAGAATTTCATGTGAATAAGGTGTGCAAATTTATTTTTTAAATACATGAAAAAAGAAATGTCAGATATGTGCAGCAATTTACCTTATCCCAAGTCTATCTGAGCCCTTCATAACCACCCACATATTCCAATAGGTGCTGAAATCCGACCCTTGAAATTTGGGGGTGAGGGCAGATTTTGAAGAAATGTCTATCCCCTAGATTTAAAAAAAGACTACAGCTCAACCATCCAAATGAAAACAAAACAAAAACCCAAACAAACCTTATTTTAAATTCCCCCAAAGAAGTGGACACACATCTCCATTCTTGAACATTTTAGTGTTCTTCATATTTGACAGGGCAAAAAAATGGAGATCAGATCAAGCATATACAAAGTAAGGAATATTTCTTAGGACTTAATTATAAATTTTGTTTTTGCAGAAACAAAGCAAGAAATTTGGGATCCTCAGCTATTATCTGGAATACTCTTTATATGTTCATTATTAGGCAAGTAAAACTAACATCAGTAAGCAATGTAGAAAACAAATGTTTTATATAAAAAAGAAACATACCAGTTTTGTTTCATTTTAAGATACTCTGGGAAATGAAACAGTAAAACAATTATAGTAATAACTAAGAGATTTTTTTTTCTTTCAAAAGTTCATTTCAGTTGGTTAGGGGCTTAGTAATTATATTTTGGTTCTACAGCCACCTTCATGAGATCATAATCGGTTAACCTCAGAGAACTTTAGCTTTTAAGGGAAAAATAAACAGTAGGAATTCAGAAATATTACTATGGTTAACTTTTTCCCCAAGATTCAGACACAGACTTGCTTATTAGAATGTTCCTGAAAAGACAACTTATCTTGTACAAAATAAAAACTGTTTGTCCCATTTCCAAAAACAAAATAATGAATAATTCTGCTTTTCTTTTTACCTTTCTTCCAGTGCTGTTGATCTCAGTTAATCTATTTAGTCATCCAGGCCAGATCTTACAACCCCCACTGCCCACATGTCCCACATATTGATTACAAAACTCAATTGTTTACGCTTTGAAAATTTTCTCAAAGCTAGTCACTCTTATCTCCACAGCTGCTGTGTTGGCGGTAAACCCTTGTATTTTGCTTAAAAAATAAACAGCTTTTGACTGATGTTTGCCACCTGTCTTTCTCTTGGCCCAAAATACTGTGAGTTTTCAGGCTCAAATCTGATTATATCATCCCTAATTTAAAAATCTTCAATAATTACCAACTGCCAAAAGGATAAAATTCAAACTCTTGATTTCAACTCAGGATTCCCCTCATGTAGCCTTTCCTCCCTCACCTAGCATGCTCCTGCACCTTTGGGGTCTGCAAAGGCCATTTTCCATCCAGTACTCCCTGTCCCCTGATTCTCTCTATATATTTTACTTTTTAGGTACCTGATGTTGAATCCAAGGGCACTGAGCCACATCTCTAATCCTTTTTATTTTTTATTTTGAGACAGTTGCTTAGGGCCTTGCTAAATTACTGAGGCTGGCTTTAACTTTTGATCCTCCTGCCTTACCTAGCCTCCTGAACTGCTGGGATTACAGGTGTGCACACATGCCAGGGTCCTCTCATTCTAAATGGCAAATTCCCATACAACCTTCAGGACTGGGCTTTTACGTCATTACTTCTTTGAAACCTGACCATGTATCCCAAATTCATTATTTCCTCCTGTATATAATACTTTGTTCATATATTTATCATATAGATATGTATGAAATGTAATTATATTTTAAAATATCTCCCTTCCTCCATTAACTATGAAATTTTCCAGAATAAGCATCATGTTTTATTCATGTTTGCATCTCCAGTGTCTAGATAAAACAGGTGCTCATGCTGAATGAATGAGTAACTAATGATGATGACGGGCTTCCTCAGTTGTCAAGTGGAAAAGCACAACATCCTCATAAACAACAATACTACAAATATAGAAAAACACTCAAATACACCTTACTAGGGCTGTCACTCAGTACCTAAGATGGGAACCTAAAATGGATACCTAAAAATGGGTCAATCAATTCAGTTTGTCCCAAACAGTAAAATCAAAAGTTACATGGCCTTTGGTTTCCAATCTGTGACTATGACATCTATAAGTAGGCTAGCAATAGGTATATCAAAATTTAAAACATGGCACTTATTATTAGTACTACGTTGTAAGAAACTGTATACATAAATGTTAACATTAAAGTGTTGAATTTTTTAGGGCATAAATACATACGTGGTATAGCTGAAATTTACTTTGGAGGCTCTGAAATACAAGGAAGGCTAATGGGAATGCTATTCAAGAGTGATATTTGTATTAAGGTACTAGGCACAAAGACATAGTGGTTTCATACAAGAACCCCAAATTCAAAGCATAAGGGCATTTGCTTCAACATGGCAATTCTATATATTCTATATATATTACTCCAGAATGAGTAGCAATAGGGATTTTAAAATTTAACAATGGTTCCCTAGATATGCTTGGCAAGTTCTCCAGTACAAAATGTAGAAGAGTATTATGAATTTTTACTTTAATTATAGTAAATAGCAGGCTCTGACTGAGGTACTCAAGAGCTCAGTAACACTTTTTTTTTTCAGTTCATTTCTTTTGTATTTTATTTATTTATTTTGGTACCAGGGATTGAAACCACGGGCATTTAACCACTGAGCCATAATCCCATTTCTTTTCACATTTTATTTAGAGACAGGGTCTCACTAAATTGTTTAGGGCCTCAGTGAATACTGAAGCTGGCTTTGAGCCTGTGATCCTCCTGCCTCAGCCTCGGCAGCCGATGGGATTACAGGTATGCGCTACCTGGCCTCTTTTTATTGTTGAAGTAAGTAACATTGTAATCGAGTAAGAACTGATGACCACAGTGCTTCTTTTAAATTAACAGAAAAAAAAAATAGTCTGGAAGGTATGTTGGAAAATTGCCTACTTTAGCATCTAGTCTTTAAGCAGAACAAGGTTTAACTCATTCAATAATTATCACCCTACATCAGCATCAAGTGTACTATTTTAAAGTAGTAATTACTGCAGGGTGCGGTGGCGCATGCATGTAATCCCAGCAGCTGGGGAGGCTGAGGCAGGAGGATCAAGAGTTCAAACCCAGCCTCAGCAATGGCAAGGTACTAAGCAACTCAGTGAGACTCTTGTCTCTAAATAAAATACAAAATAGGGCTGGGGATGTGGCTCAAGGGATTGAGTGCCTATGAGTTCAATATCTGTTCCCCCCCACCCCCCCAAAAAAAAGTTGTGATCACCAGAAGAGAGCCATCCTTGTAAGCCAGACATTAAATGCCAAAACCTTACAGCTAAACCCTTCATAGTTGATTCCTTAAAGTATTATTACAATTTCTGTTTTCCAAAGTAAGAAACTTTTGGTTCACAGAGGTTAAGAAGCTTTCTCAAGTCACAGAGCCACAGTTAAGTTAAAGGGTGGAGACAGACTCAAATGCAGATCTACTCCAATGCTTACAGCCTTGATTAGATACTGACAAAAATGATGCTCATAACTAAACATTTAAAAGCTCAGAAAATTAGGGGCTAGGGTTGCAGCTCAGTGGTAGAGCACTTGCCTTGCATGTGAGTGGCACTGGGTTCAATCCTCAGCACCACATAAAAAACAAATAAAATAAAGTTATAAAAAAATAAAAATTTTTAAAAATTGCAATAAACAAACTAACAAATAAACAACAACAAACCTTAGAAAATTAGAAGGAAAAATTCATAGTACACTCTCCCTTCTCAAAGATAACTAAGATAAGTAGTCTGGTATACTTCCCTGCCTTATGAATAGTTTGCTTTATGTGTTAAAATCATAGCTCTCTAGGATGTGTTGTCTTCATAAAAATAATGAGAATGATAAATTCTCATCACTATTTTGTAACTTTTAGCAAGTCTTTGTAGTCTTCAGATTTTTATAGGCATGGGAGATGGGGAAGCTTGGCATTGACTCTAGTATCTTTTGCAATAATTTTGTTTCTAGGTCCATAGAAAAACCACTCTTTTAGTTTTAGGTGAATACAATATCTTTATTTTGTCTTTATGTAGTGCTGAGAATCGAACCCAGTGCTTCACGCATGCTAGTTCAGTGCGCTACCACTTGAGCCACAACTCCTGCCCCTCCTGTGTGTGTGTGTGTGTTTTTTTTTAAATATTTTTAGTGTAGATGGACACAAGGCCTTTATTTTATTTATTTTTATGTGGTGCTGAGAATCGAATCCCCAGTGCCTCATGTGCGTTAGGCAAGCGCTACCACTGAGCCACAACCCCGGCCCCACTTCTGTTTTAATATATGCAGATTTCTTTTGTTCTGTCTTCTACAGACATGAGAACCATTTGTAGCAAGGCTTATAGCAACATTTAAAATAAAATCTGAGAACAAGCCTATTTCTAAAACAAGATACGAAGCCAGGTGGAAGGCCAGTACTGCTGTGAGAAGAGACCAGCAGAAAAAGAAAACACTCAGCACTGAAAACCATTCTTCTGCCAAATTACAGAGAAAGGAAAGCTATAAAAGGAAAGACCATGAGCTTGGCGTCAATGTTGAAGATAACAAAACTACATTCAATACACATCAATCAAGAAAGCTACAAAAATGGCTTTTTGGAAAATAAAAAA